GGGGGGGGGGGTTGCTCATCTCCCTCCCTGTGGGTGAATCAGAAAGAGCCAGAGCTTGGGTGTGTCAGGAAGGCCGCCGGCGTGGCCACCTGGGCTGTGTGGGGACTAGGTCCCACCTGGGTATCTTCCTGCTGTCACTCAGAGATGGTGCTTTCAGTCCACTGGGCCCCCCTCTCTGTCAGCTGCAGCTGGCAGAGTCCCAGATGTCCCCAGCCCACCCCAGGTCTGGGCCAGGTCACAGTCTCCCCGGAAGCTCAGCTCTGGGGGGCTGTGGTGCATGAGTGGGGGCCCTGAGAAATGACCTTTTCTGCAGGTTGAGGTGTCCACCTTATTGGTGCATGTGGGGTTGGCCCTGGAAGGTGTCAGGGGTGTGTGTGTCCATAGGACCTTGGCAGTTGCTCCCTCCCCCAGATTGGCCCTGTCTCCTCCATCGACTGTCCCAGGGTCTAGGGCCCCCTCTCCGTGTTTGGGGTGAACTGAGGCCTTGCTCCCCAGGTGGGAGTGTGGGGTGCCGGCTCTGCCACCTGCTGCTGCCTAGGACTAGCCAAGCTGAGTCTGCTTCCTGCCCAGTCTCCTGGCTCCCGTTTCTCTACTGGGCCCAAGTCCTGGGCACGGAAATCCTGTTGTACTGGGCAAGGCTGAACTCCAGGGGGCCAGGACATCTGGGCCCCCGCCTGCTGCAGGCCCCGATCCTGCCTGGCCTGCTCTCTGGGCCTCCAGGGGCCACCCTGTGGGGGTGTGTCTGGTCCACACCCCCGGCCTATCCTTCCCCATGGCCCCTTGCCAGCTGTGCTGGCTGCTGTTCCCCTCACCTCTCTGAACCTGAAACCTTGACCCCACTCCCACCCCCCGCCTGTTTCCCACACCAGGGTCATGGGCTTCCTTCCCAGTCAGTGTTGCCCTGCCCTCTGCATCCTGCCTTCCCCATACCTCAGGCCCACCTGACCAGGGGCAGCATTAAGAAATAGGTCCAGCTGGTCGATGTGGAGTGGGTATGGCCAGTGGGGCTGACTTCTCCGGGGCCTAGCTGTCCTCTCAGGTCTTGAGTTGGGCTGGTGCAGCAAGTGGGGTCTACTTGTCTCCCTGGCTGGGCAGGTGGCCTGCCCTTGGAGAGAGCGTGTGGTACTGTGCCATCTAGACCTGCCTGTGTCCATGGGGTCTGACAGCCTTTGCACCTGTGCTGACGCCTGCTGTGAACCAGGCCCCATGCTGGGCTGTC